CCCTGAGTATTTTATGATTGGCAACATTCTCCCTACACATAAAGTATCGCTGACAACTTTTCAGGCTTGTTTGTCAGATCTCCAACAGCGCCACTCCACTCCCGACCATAAATTCAAAAGTGAATCTGGCAAATAAACATACAAATTCACACACAAAACTGGGCTCACTTAAAACGTCCATATACATGTATATATATACATATATATAGAATGGAACTGGCAACATATTTCGTGGCACAAACATCGCGTCCCGATGCGACGCGATCCAAGTGTCCAGATATGTCAACAATGTCGCTGTTAAGCGCCGGAGTCCAATGGTTTTTGGGACTGCCCCTATGCCGCCACTTCTGTCACCGTACGACACGAGCTTCCGCTCCGTGGTAAGGGAAACATTTGCCCCATGCGTCACATTAAAAATACAATAAATATATATATGCAAAAACCTTTATAAATTTGAAAACGAACACAAAAGGGCTAACGCAAAACTGTACGCTTGATTGACCAACTATTTTATTAAAAAAGATACATACACCAAATTGAATCAGCAGTGGTTTAAAGATTCAGCATAAAAGCCGATTGCACAACATGCACAATATAAAATATTTAAAGTTGTCCATTCAACTGAAACGTGACGAGATTAAAGTCCCCAAAAGTAAATAGTTAAATGATGCGAGTTGCATGGGCAAAAGAAGTCAAATTGGGCTTAAGTTGTAAAATGAATAACGGCTATTAAAATGTGTGATTGGTAAAAATGGCCAATGAAAGGATGAATATTTGCCATCAGATGCAGGAAACAAATGAAAATAAATATTTGAAATATTTCAGTAAATCGGTAACTAATAAGACTACCTTTCTAGTGAAGCCTAGCGTTTTAGCCTCGATAAATTCTTAGAAACACCCACAAAAATTTATTTTTCTTCTAAAATCCTTTAAAACTAAGCTCACAAAATTTGGTTTCTTGGACCTGCAGTGAAATCTATAAAGTGCAGAATAATAAGATTCACTGAAATGTTAAATCCGTGTGAGTTATTTTGGCAGACAATTGAAAGTCGCTCAAATGCGAACTGACTCATCCGAGCAAACTGGCTGGCTGCATTGTCAAGATATTATTTCTGGAATATATATACAAAAGGAGGCATGCAAATTTGGATTCATATTTTTGCAACTTTATTTTAGTTTTAATTGCGCGCACGCAATAATTTTCCTTGATGGCGCATCAACGTCAAGTCGAATCACTCGCCAACGCTCCATCCATCATAAAAGGCCAGCTCAACAGCTGGTTGAGGAGGTTTAAAGGGGTTGAAAAGGGGGTTCCGGGAGGTGTTGGAAGACTCTTTGATTATGAGCGCGTGCGCACAATCAGACAGAGGCACAAATTCACAGATGGACTACTGGACTGGGACTGGAACTGGACAGGGCTCCACCAGAAATTCTCCCAGTTGGGACTGGCTCGACTCGATTATCATGCAGGGGCGCATCGGCCATAAAAACGATTCTGCGATTCCCTCTATGTGTGTGTGTTGGCCAAATGGCGTCTTTCGCCTTGTTTTGCATGCTGCGCTCGTTAAGAACGCCACCGAGAACAATGCAGCAGAAACAGCAGTGGGAGCAGTACACTGAAAATAAAAGTAGTGAGGGGTCTGAACTGAAATTCCATTATAACAATCACAAAGACTTAAACTTAAACTTCCCTTCATAGTTTTTTTTTCAGTGTAGAATCAGCAGCATCGACAGTACTTACCCAACTGGTGCCCAGTAATGGGCTTAGCCCAACTGAATCCCCCCTTCGCCAACCGAAAACACTGCGGTTTATAATGACGTCTCGGGCAAAATAAGAATTGAGCCAAAGCCGCGACCTGCATATTGATTCGGCATGGATTAAGAAAACCTGACTCTCCTTCTCCACGGGCCAGGCCATAAAGTCAAGAATGCTCGAGACGTTTGCCTACTCATGACAATGCAATCCGTTCTTATATAAATATTCATTTCATTTCATAGATCTATGGGTGCCACAGGTGCCTGCTTATAAGCCAAGACCAGTAGTCGCAGAGATCAAATCGATTTGTTGTGGACCTTGATGGTCAAAAGAGTTAATCTTTTTAATATGTATTATAGCCATAAAGAACAAGAACAACTTGTTTTAGTGGAAATTGTGGTATAATGGGAATGGTTTATTTTATAATTCTCAATTCATACTATTAAAGTTATCTGTAATTATAAACTTGTGGTCATATTCTTCCTGTATTCCTGTCAATTCTGGCCTGAAATTTAAAAAAATTTACCATCTACCTTATAAAGTTTGTAGTTTTGAGATTGATAATGGTGGCAAATATATTTAAACGTACTTTTAAAAAAAAAATCTAATTAGCATGGTTTAAAAACTAAAGAATTCAAATTTCCAGACTGAGAGAGTCCAAATGTTATAAATATTTAAACAATTTAAATTCTCTTCTTATTATTGATCTAAAATATATATCATATGTTTGGCTTAGATGTTCAATACCTTGATATTTAATCGAATTAATACTTGAACATCTGTTTCAGTTGCAGATCAAAAACTTTTTCGATTTCTCTTGTTTTAAATTCAATAAAATTCTCTTTGAAAAGTTTACAAATCTCTTTCAAGCCAACATAGCTCTTCTGTCTAGCTCTTAGACAAAAGTCGTAAACCAAAAAAAAAAAGAAGAAAATCAGGCAAAAAGCAGAAACCAATTTAATTTGTTTGTTTTACTAATCAGCGGCACGTACTAGCACGTTTTTTGCTTTAGCTGAATTCTGTTCACAGTCGATGCCAATATCGGTGCTCTTGTTGTTGCTGTTGCCATTGCTGTTAGTGGACGGTTTGGTCTGGCCTGGTCGGAACTGGCCCGGTCGGGTGTATTGGCTGCCGTTTGGTTAAACAGCCCACGTTTAAACATGGCTCAGAGCGTGCTAATCAAGTGGCTCCGAAAACAAAATTACGCGACCGACTGAGCAAAAGCCAGCTTCGGCTTTGTCTCGTTTTTCATATAATTTTTGATGCTCTATTTAGGGGTATTATATTTAAGAGGATGTTTGTAACCCTGGACAGCTGATGTCTATATGTATATTTTTTGCTTTATGTTACTAAGAAAAGTAACAAGATTTTTCATAAATAAATGTTTTAGATAAAAGCCCATTCTACTTGACAGGCTAGAACTAGTTGGGAATTATAGATAACTAGGAAGTGACACGCCTGATTTATCATAAAGATTTTAAGATTTTATTAAATATAGATTAATCAGACAATAATTCTTGTAATTCAACATGAAAATTGTAAATCTAATTTTCGAAAAGAGTATTTATCCATCAAACTGCACAGATTTAGTGCTTCCTTGTACTTTTTTTGATTGACTTTGGTTTTTTATGTTATTTGGTCGCGTTGCGTTGAAGTTGGTTTTGGTTTTGAATTTGGTTTTGGTCTCCGTTGGAGCTTGGGGTTTTGGATTTGGATTTGGGGCTAGGGCTGGGCCGTTGCTTGGGTACGCTTTGATGGCTTCTAGGTGAAGGTCATTGTGTGACTGAAATGTTAATTTGACTGGCTGTCATACTTATATGGCGGAGTGCCTGGGCCATTTTAGTTGTATATTTTTTTATGACACTTGCTAAGGTTCTACATACTTAGAAGCACTTACGCAAGCAGGTATTTATGCGGGCCTAGGAACCACTGGCCAAAACTGAAAATCAAGTTTGATTTGTTGCGCTGCTGGAATGCAGAGATTTCTTTAACGACTCACGCAGTAGGATGGAGAAGTACGTTTTTCAGTCAGAATTACGATTTCATTACTGAGATAAAAAAATGCATCTTTGCAATGCCAGACAATTATAACATAACATAACGTAAAGTGCAGTAGAATAGCTTAATATTTAATAATTATCTATCTAAAATGTTCAATTTAAAAGTCAAATTAATTTAAGCTAGGAATTAAAAAATAAACAATAAATAAAACAAAATAGAAAGTGCTAAAAACGTTTTGAAAATCAGTGAAAACGATCTGTGTAAAAGCTAACGTTGACTTCAATGGCTCCGTCTGAGACTCCAATGATGATGATGATGATGCAAATGTGCGACATATTTGCAGACAAGTCCGTGTTCAAATCGAAGGATGGACGGGTGGTTGGTTGGTGCTTCTACGGAGGATAATGAGCTGCAGCCCCGTGATTCGAGTCTGGTGGCCCATCTAATGGTCTTGTTCGCATGGTGGTTAGAAGGTTGGATGCTGCAGCTTCAGCAGCGATTCAGCACCGTTTTGCTGATGCGGCACAATCTAGAGCCATAAAAGGGCATTAGCCTCGTGAGTAGATTGCATGTTTTTACCAAGGGGGTTTTTCGTCGATGGGCAGGCGTATGTTTGTAAGAGGGGGTGGCAAAGTGGGTGGTTTTTCGGGTAGCACGAGTAGCTGTGTGCGCGGGCTTTGGAAAATTGAATAATGTGCCTGAGGAGCCAAAGAGGGATTGAAGCAACGAACCGAAGGGAAGTGCTCGATGTTCGTAGCAGAGTCATTTAAGGGTTGCCGGCAGCATCCAGCATGGGCCTACTAAGGACTATGTTACAGATACAGTCACTCTGGTATGTCTTCAATATAATCGTAAAGTATTACCTTAAAATTAGAAATAATATTTTTTTAATAATTATGAAGGGGGGATGCCCTTTCAGTCTAACTTTCACTTGCCTCACAAATGATTGATGAGCGTACAGACCGGCAATTTACTTTACAGATATATCAATTGAATGAAATTAATTGCAGACTTATTTGCATGACTGTTGAACCGCCACATGTCGTATGCGCAATGCATGTTTTGACTTAACCTACGATGACTCAGAATATTATACCGCTCCGTGCATAAATATGAATGAGGAAATCCAAGCAACCTGCATCTTGGGATTAGCCCAGACTGGATTTTCCAGAATTCCACTGAACAATCTCATTGACCGTTCCAATCCGTATAAAAACGAAAGAAATTACAAATAGAACTGCAGTTGCCCGTAGATGATTGAACAAGATGAAGAGCCACATTATTCCAGTTTTGTTCCTGTTCGGTATTATTTGTGCAGTGCTGATTGCTGCCCATCCGCATGACCTTATTGGATTACCGGATGACTCCAACAATGATCTCTTGGAGGAAGGCAGTGGCTACAATAGTGCAGAAGAGTTCATGAACGCCATGGACGAACTCATCAGGCAATGGCAGGAAAACGATGCAGCTCAGGAAAACTCAACTGACTACTCAAGCGGAGATTATGATGAGACGACATTGAGTTCTATTGATTTTGTAACCGAACTGGTTGCTTAATAGAAAATTACTTTGTAAATTATTTATTAAATTTAATAATTATAAGGAGATGCCTCTTTTGCTTGTATATAAAAATTCCTAAAATGCTTTATAGCATTTAAACTGAATTTAAAAAGATTTTAACTTTCCTTTAATAAAATCATTCCCAACATCAGCATTACTTACGAAAAGTACTCAAGGTCTAGAACCTCGCTTAAGATATCAATTTATTTTGTGGTAAACAAGCACTTTGCACTGCCAACGAAAGCTGGATTTTCCCGCATTCACATTAATCGATTACTATATTTTCAACCCCTATATATAAAATACCAATTATATAGACTTGCTGATAACCCTGGGCAAGGCTATAAAAGCGAGGCTCGGAAGCTGACTGACATTCATTCAACTGCAGCCACCGCCAGACCGAAACAAAATGCAAGCCATTCTAGGGCTTCTACTGCTGTTTGGACTAATCTATACCGACGATCGGTGCATCGGGTATATTCCAGAGTATAAACATAGGTGCCGATGGAGGTGGCCTAACAAGATCTTCCAATGGCAACGATGACTGGAGCGAAAGTGTTCACAATGCGGATGTTGACAGGGCTCTGAAGTTGTTGGAAAAACTAGATAACAGTGGAAATGATAGAAACAACTGGGGAAACGATGCAGTTAGAAATTCTGGATTCGATGTCAACAGATCAAAAGGTGATTCGGATGAGGATGCTCGCGGATTTCAGTTTATAAACTTCGGTTAAGTAATTAAGTCTTTAAGAGAAAGCTTTATCTTTATCAAAATACTCAAACTTGTGTTAAACTATGAAATGTAATGTAAAAAAAATTAATGTAAAATAAACAAAATCAATACTTCATCTCCCAAAACTCCCCAATTAGTTAAACCAAAAACCTTGACCCATTTCCATTCCATTCAGCCAAACTTGTGTCATCGTTTAGAAAATACAACTTTTACTTTCTATTAAAAACAGCGCTCGACTCGAAATGTTTTTAATCCAACAGCTTATGCTAATTAGATGAATAGTAAATAGAAAAAACCTAAAGCAATTTTGAGCTTAGAATACTACGACGATGAAAACATAAATTAGCATATTTATGCGATTTAATGGTCGAACTGAAGTTCTGTGTTATGTGCCGAAGTTCGGTCTTCAGCTTTAACCAGTTATAGATAACCATAGCTAATGGAAGGTTATTGGGGGAAATTAAATCGATTTCCGTATTAAGAATATGATTTTTGTTAGTGCTAATCAGAGGAAAATGTTACACAAGACTTAAGCTAAATAAAACTTTGATTTGCTAGGAATTAATCTTGGCTTTGCTTTTAACAGACTCTTTCTACTACTCTTTTTGATAATATATAACATTTACTTTTCAACTTTACAATTATTCCGAATTTAATCACCCATATTGAAACTCAATCTCGGTCTCGACAAATCAATCAAAAACAAACACCGAACGGAACAATCAATTAATTCAATTGCAATGCAATTACTATGCAAATTCTCTCTCTCGCCACACTCGAATGTTCAACTGTATGCGTATAATTAAACATTTTCACGTTTAAATTTTGACTTAAATTTAAAATGATTGCTTTTACTAATTATTTGCCCAAACACAATAACAAAATTAAAAAGCGAATTGGTGGTGTAAATAATGCAAACTGTCTTTTTGCCACAGGAAGAGCAGCTGCTTTTTGTTTTTAAATTTCCATTAAATTTTAATGATTCTCTCATAAAATTCATTTCTTCTTTTTATGTTTGCTGGCACTTTAATATATATAATCATGATTTTAATTGGGGCTTAAATCCAAAGAAGTAAATAAACACACAAACAGCCAGAAGGGTTTTCAAAAGGGGGAAAAATCATGGAAAACGCGCACGAGACGCGGTAAATGTAATGTGTTATTAACACATTAAAACCAGAGGATGAAAAATAATTTGAAAAGTGTGCTGGCTGCCGGCTATGAAAACTCGCTGAGTGTCAAAATACAATTGCCCTTTGAGTCGGATTTAAAACCATGATTACGCATACGCAACGTGGCCAAAGACACATTGTCTTGATTTCCAACGACAAGCACAAGAACAGAATGAGAATCGAGGTCTCAGTGAGATAAGCCAGTCAGTTGTGGAGTAGATGGAGGTCATAAAAAGGGCGGAATTGAAAGAAATGAGCACTAAGCACTCGAAATATGAACCGATGACACAGAGACAGGCGGCAATCTTAAAGTAACCCCGAAAGTCAAAGACACTAGAACTTAAAGCTAACACGGAATTGGATTCTGATTCGGTTTCCACGTCCATTTCAGCAGCATCAGCAGAGCTTCTTACTCAGCCAACTGATTAAATTTATTTATTATGTCACTCTCTGTCTCTGTGTCCCAATGGAGGATGGATGATGTCTCCTCTCGACGAGCTCACTTTATCGTCTGTTCCAGCTCTTAAGACCCATAATGGCAGAGCAATCGTTGGCTTAAGTCTCCCAGCCGTCCTCCCCTCCGGTTTGCTTATCGATGGAGGGCAAATTGAATTTGGACTGCTGCTTATCAGCCTTTTGTTTACTCTCTTATCGGGTATCCCAAATCTCTGCAAATGATATAAGATATTGTGGCTCTTGTGCCAAATACTTTACAGATAACAGAAAAGTGGAACCAAGGAGGAGCAGCAGTGGAGGCCATCAGAAGAACGTATCTTGCGAAACACTTCTCCCCTTCAAGTAAAAATGCATTGGATTTGCAATTTAGTAAGGTTCAGGTCTCGTTAGCTTTGATTATATGGATTGCATACTTCAGCATCGATGATTGGTCTCATAAAATTAGCGTTGTGATGGAGTTTACTGGTCCTGGGGGGTTTTCAATTCCTACCAATGGCAATAACCCCCTGGCTGGGGGAATCTGCCATCGATTGCTGGCCACAATTAATTACCACATTCAAGCAAAACAAATTCTGCATTTACCTGTTTTTCCTCTTTTGCATTCAAACAGACAATTAACAAGGCAGCGTGCTGGTTGTTGTTGTTGTTGCTCTCTGCGTTTAACAAATGCAAAAATAATTATAATTAATGCAGAGTTTTTGGCCTTGAACTTGCATAACCTGCTATAGCTCTTTCCCTCTCATGCCAACCATCTACGTAATTACTTTGTCGCTTGTGGTTCTGCTTTTTGGCCAGGCCAACAAAAATCGTCATTGGCATTGTCATGACCAGTTCGTGGATGAGTCCCACCAAATAAATTTCGCATTCATATTTGTTTAGTAGCAGCCAGAGAGAAAAGCAAAAACAAAAACGTAGCTTAGCATTTAAATATTTTCAGCTTCGTTGAGCAGCGCAATGCAACTGCAAAAAAAGAGGAGGCAATAGTTAGGTAAATTCAAATTCAAATAGTTAGTTCCATATCTCGGCACTCGTCATCTGCCCGACTGTCGTCTGGCCAAGTTCAAGGTGAACATTTGCCTCGAAACTTGGCGCGTATTTCTGTGGAAACATCCACCGAGCCATATACGATCTCCAGCTTATTGCTCACCTTTGACAAGGCCCCAAACGATCGCGAATATTAGCCTGACTCAGAGAAAGGGGACAGGGAAAGGGGGGTTGGCGGTGGATCATTCAAGTGCATCCATGTGCTCAGCTCATACGAGAACGCCCACGGGGAGAGGCGGGCAGTACATTTACTCAGCTTGCTAATTAATAACTCAGCCAAGTCGGTGATGGCACTAAATCATATTATATACAGGGTAAAAAGTCTGTAGTTAGGTGTTGCAGTTAATTGGAATTGCCAGGTAGCAAAGACTGGTTAACAAATTTCAAAGTATATTTTCAAATCCATTAATGTTCCTTTGCAGCTAAGAGAACTCTAAAAATAGGTACTGCACTAATTGGAAATGAGTAGTGAAGAGTTCTAAGTCGTAACCATAATATTCCCTCTATTCGATGCACCACTGACCCACTTCCCTCATGAAAGCGACGCCTTCTTCTCTCTTGGGGCCAAAGAGTCAGTTTCCCTTGCCCCTTCATATTCCTCCATAATCATCTCATATTTGCCTCGCCAGTTCTTATGCAACATTTGCAGATGCAATTCTTTCAGTTCGCTCTCGATTTCTCGGTTCTCCATTCTCTGCTCTTTGCTGGCTGCAATTTTATTGCTAAATTAAGTAATTGGTCCAAGAAGCCGCCTCCACACCATCCCCTCCTTTCGACTGCCCTGCATTCGCTTTGGATTCTGCAATCTAAATGTTCGGCTGTGTTTGCCTTTGTGCGGGCATCTGAGTATCTGTATCCGAGTATCTGTATCTATTAGTCCGGCGGCGGCCTCGTATCTGCATCTGGGCATCGCGCGGCGGCACACAATGAGAAGCACGCTCTGTGCTCTTCTTTGGTATTCCACTTCTGCTTTCCATTGCGAATGTGTTTTGCAGATGCAATTGCTGGAGCTTCGGTGGCTAGTGGGGCAACAGGGCGTATGCTGAATGCGGGCCGGGGCACAAAACCAAAATAATGCAAATATAAAAAAAGAAAATGAAGTCAAAGAGGGCAGGCCAAAGCAAAGTACTCAATGTGAGAACGTGTGGGTTTTTGCGCAATTTTGCAGATACTACCAGAGGTCTGTTACTTGCATTCTGAAGATTCTTATACGGCATCGTTCTTATTATTCCCCAACAAAATTCAAATGCAAACCCAACTGAAACCAAAACTTTTTATGGCATCCAAATGGCCAGACGTAAAATGGCATTACGAATTAATAAATACAAAAAAAAGACGAAATCCGGGCACGAGGGGGCGAGGCCATAAAATGAAGCACGCAAAGCAGATGAACTGAAATTCCAAGGTCGCCGGTAAAAGAACTTTTTGTTAGCATGTTTATGAAGATTTCTGAATTTACTTTGTGCTGCTCATTTTTCGGTTCTCCTCGGTTTGTTTAAAGAAGAATTAGTCGGTCGATCGACGGAAGCCGCTTGGGAACTGGAATTTCGGGACTAAAAAACGAACTGAACACTCACCTCAAATGAGTTAAGAGTGTTGGGCAAATGGAGTCGCAGGTAATGCGACAAATGAAATGAAAGGAAAAAAAGCGTCGACGACAAAAAGTTTAATTTCAGTGCTAATTAAAGACGCCGAATCGAAGCAAGCTCAGCTGCTAATGCTGTATATACTGATGTTTGTGCACATTTAGCCAACTGAATTTATGTGCACGGCTTTCTTTGAATTGCGCAGCAGCCATGAGATCTCGAGATCGGTTCTGGAATCGGGGTTCGGCTCTGGCACCAGGCACTTGGGTGCCGAGAACTGGCCTTGACCCCAATGATATCAGAAAGCCATAAGGCCCCAGCTCCTTGGGCGAGTTCTATAAAAAGCTCAAAACGAAACATCAGTTAAGACTAATTGAGTTTGGCTAAAATTGGTCAAAATGCGCAGCAAGCAATGGCCAAGACAAGAGCATCTACTCGATACCAATTCAATTCAATCCAATCCGAGATTCGCCTCAACGAATCCATCAACGACAAGCAGCTTGCGACGACGATGACTGCTGCAAAAAGTCACCTTTTGGCACCTATGTATATCTACCTGCCGGATGACATCATACATTGCCAGCGACGACAATTACTCGGAATACAAATAAAGAGTTGCGACCCCAACTTGGTCGCAGGCTATCCTCAAAAGCTGGCAAACTGCATCATGAAGCATGAAAAGGCACCAAATGGCCGCAGAATGAGCTCGAAATACAGAATCGCAACTGAGAGCCACGCCAAACATACGAACAAACAAACAAACAATCGTTGAATCGAATTCGTTGTCCAAGACGGCGGTTTTTTAGAGCCAATTCGATCGATGCTGCAGGGGGCAGCCATAAATGGCTAAGGCTTTGCGTCGATTACTCATACGCCATGTGGCCGGAGAAACAACTTGATTCCATTTGCTTGTATTTTATGAGGATCCTTCGATTTATATTAAAATGTTGGATAAGGGAATAATATTGGATTACATATCCTTATAGCCTTTTATCAACTTGTAATATTTAATGCGAGAAATAAATAATTTTAAAAGCCTTTTTAAATAAAATTGTGGAAACATGCTAATAAGTTTATAAATCCGATTTAGTGGCAATCTGTTAATGAGTTTAAAATACCTTTTGGCTTTGACAATTCCAAAGATCGATTAATCCATCTATCACTCTTCAATAAACCCATTAAAACGTCTCTGAATTGAGTTTTTACCACATCATTAGCTCGAGGGGACTTCGTGGTTCGTCATAGATACACTCTATGATTAATGACCGAACTTGTCTGCTCTACGTTCACTTAATTGGTTAATTAATTTGTGTAAATTTTTGTAAATATTAAGTCGTTTAAGTGACGCACTTCTCCGCCCTTCAACTCTTTTCCCAACTCCCCTCCCTCTGCCACACCCTAAGAGAAAAAGAGAGGTTTGTGCCCCATATAGAGTTGTTATAACAACCCATAATTAGGCTTTGGCAGTTTTGTTTGCCTTTTGTTTGACTCTTTTTTTGTTTTTTGTCTGTTTGCTGCTTGTTAACTTTGTTTTGTTTGAGATCATTTTTGGGGTCCACCCCTTGGGCCCTCGCCCCTCCACCCCCCTCGCCGGCTGAGTGGTGGCACTCAAGTGGCAATTAGTGTTGACATTCATTAGCTGTGATTAAAATGAGATCAGATTGCGGATGGCGATGACGAGCAGCACGTGAGAGGAGGGCTAACCGACGGACCACGCCCACCGCAGATCTGCTTCGAAAGGCGTGTGAATCACACGCAGAGTTTTTGCCAAGTGAACTCGACTTTTACACTGAGAAAAAATAAGCAAAGTCATTTTAGACTTAAAAATTATACAACATGAAATGAAAGGTTGAATAATTGTAGTATAAACATATTTTTATAAACTTAATAAGAAGCAAATTGCATTCAAAATGGTATTTCGAATTAATTTTGAAAATATTTTCCTGAAAACTTTCTAAGGTTAAGTCATTTGAAGTGACTCGAAGTGAATCGAAGTGGAGTGTCCCAATTAGAATGCCTGCAATTTGGCTAATGACGGCAAAGCACTGCCACAGATTCGCTCGAAAATAAGTCGCAATTCGCTGGAATGATCGTTCTGCTTTAAAGCAGAGATATAGATAGATAGAGATGCACTTACAGATGCAGATACAGCTGCACTAGCCTAAAGAAGGCCTCGCCTCTTTTTCTGTCTATTCTCGGACTGAATTGGAATCCGCATCTGCAAATCGCATTCGCAATGAAAAGCAGAATTGAAATACCAAAGAATCGAAAAGAAAAGAAGAGCACAGAGCACGCTTCACATTGTGTGATGCCCAGATGCTTTGGTCTAATAGATGCAGATACTCATATACAAACACAGCCGAACATTTAGATTGCAGAATCCAAAGCGAATGCAGGGCACTCGAAGGGAGGGGATGATGTGGAGGCGGCTTCTTGGACCAATTACTTAATTTAGCAATAAAATTGCAGCCAGCAAAGAGCAGAGAATGGAGAACCGAAAAATCGAGAGCGAACTGAAAGAATTGCATCTGCAAATGTTGCATAAGAACTGGCGAAGCAAATATGAGATGATTATGGAGGAATATGGGGGGAGAAAGGAGAACTGACTCTTTGCCCCCAAGAGAGAAGAAGGCGCCGCATTCATGAGGAAAGTGGGTCAGTGGTGCAGCTATTAGAAGTATGTTGGGTACTTAGAACTCTTAGATTCCGGACAAGAGTTTCCAATTAAGTACAATACTTTTTTGTTAATATTAACATATTGTTAACTTAAGAATTTCAATGAGGCTAATAAACTGAATCACCTAACTACTTACTCTTTTCCCCTTTCCCTGCTTCATTAATTAGCCAGATGGCGAGAGAATGAGCTCCCCTTAAAGCCCGTGGGCGATCTCGGATGATCTGAGTTGGCCGCACACTTTTTCACTCTGAGTCAGGTTAATATTCTCGAAGAGAATTTCACGAGTCTCCAGCTTATTTCTTGTCAAAGGTGAGCATTATTTCAGCGTGAGTAATACGAATTCGTTTTTTCGACGACCCTGAACCCAAACCCAGCTAAAGTGGCTTGGTTAATGCATTGGAAATATGACGAATATGTATTTGCCTTGTTATGAAACGAAACACAAGAGGGTAGCAGCTAACCGAATCTCTATAAGAGTTGTCCTTCTAAGGCGTGAATTAATCACATTTGCAGGGATTCTGACCCAACACAGTCACCGCCCGTTTGCAGGATAAGTCTTCTCATGTCGTTCAGGGATCTTTTGATAGCTTTACTGTACTTAACCGAGCTTATTTCTGGGCAAGTTTCCCAAGAGGAGATGGAGAAGGTTACCTTGTCATCGTGAAGATTATAACAGACGCCATAGCCATTGAATATTAGTGGTCCGAATGACATGAACCCGTCGTGGGACGTGGCCACTTGAGAGGTGAAAAGCTGAAAGGTAACCGATTTCATAAAACCCTTGGATAAAAAGAACTCCGGCAGTGGCATGGAATTTTCCAGGGCCATCTCTTGCAGCCCAAACAAATGCCGATCGATGCCCTGTCCACTGATGGCCTCTTTGGTCAACGTTTCGTGGGCATCCACTGCCTTCTGAAGAGTTTCTAACTTCTCATTTATCGACGTCTCCTTCGATTGCATGGCCAGGACAAAGGCCTTCGAATGGTTAGAGGTGGATCTTATGGTTTCGGTGCGTCCTTCACAGAAAATCCTTAAATGCGCCGACTCATACTGAGCGGGTATATCTTTGTGCATGGAGTAGTAGGCCAGACTTAGGGCCAACTGGATGTAGCTATCCGGATTAAGACCCTGGGCCTTTATGAAACACTTTCCATGACACTCAAACTGAAACACATTCATCTGCAGTTTACTGGAGAGCTTGTTGATAGTTCGCTTTGCCTCACACATCCACAAATTGATGCACTCATTCACGGGTTGAAACTTCAGAAGGGTCAAAGGAACATCCTTGTTCGAATCGGTTTCGGTTTCTTCGTAACCATATTCCTCATTTTGCCTAGGAAATGGCGACTATGATGGACTATGATTACATTGCATATATTTTTAGATCACTTACACTTTCTCCTGCACAAAGTCCATTAGCATGGCCAGTGGCTGGCAGTCGGCGGGAGAATGCTCATAGCAGAATCCAGCCAAACCATTTGGGTTGACCACCAGTTGGATTGCCTTGTCCATCCAACGATTGGCGCTATTTTGCTTTAGACCACCACCATGGAGTAGCTGATGGGCCTGCACACTTCTATCCTTTCCGTCAGGAACATCCACACATTTGTCTAAGGCAGACCAGGAACAGAGATTCCTCGATGATATCAACAGTATCGGCGTTTCCATGCGGACACCTAAGCGCCGTATAGGCCTCGGCCCAATTGCTCCTGTTGTCGTGGGTTAGCACGCCAAAGGGTTCGCCCTTCTCCACGGGACAGTTCATAATCCTTTCCAGGGCTTCCATTATGCTGGGAACAGGCAAACATTTTCCATTTTCCAAAAAAATGGGCATCTTAAAATACTAAAAAGAAGATAATGAAACTTTAAGAGATAAACTAAAATCTACTTTCTTACTTACATTATTATTATAGACAACTACTATATAATTGGAATCATTAAACTGCTCAATGGTATCACAAAATCGTCCTGGTTTACGAATCGTTCCAAAGATTTTGAAGAATTGACTGTTATCCAAAGAGTTTCTGCCCATTTTGACCTCTGGAATTTGATTTTTGTCTACTAAATTTTTGAATTCACAAATACCATAAATTGCTTTAGCTGTAAAGTTTAGAAAATCCGTAGGTTCGTTGAACACTTGAATGGGAAATGCTAGACCCGGACTAGAGAAGATAGTCAGCGGAGCACGATAGCTCAAGTAGGCAGAACGTGTCCACCTTGGAGTCAGCCAGTTGCTGCAACGTTCAGCCTCTGCCTCCAGCAGCCGCTGGAGTTCGACGCCCTCATTCTCCCCGAAATCCTTGGTAATTTTCTGTTCCTCCTTGAATTCCTCTTCAGTGAGAAAGGGTTCAATACTACTTATATAACTGGCTAGACTTTGTTTCAGTGGAAGAGCCGGGAACTTTTTTATCTCGGAACTTCTTTTTAAGTCGCTGGATTCGCTGCTTTTGGGAACTTTTTTCGAACAGTTCTTTGGAACCTCTTTTGCCATTGGAATGCTTTCTGATGAAGGTGGCATAGAAGAAGATTTGATTTTTTCTTGTAAAAGAACCTCAGGACTTTTACTTTGTTCTTTGGCTAGTGGCTGAGGAAGATTTTGAAGGAGCCTTGGCAGCTGGAGGCGGTGGAGTAGTCTTTGCTGCTGGAGGAATTGGATCTTTTAAAGAAGTATTTTCCTTTACTGCTGATGGTATAGGATCATTCATAGCAGTTTTCCCCTTATTCTCCAGAAGATTCTTTGTAGATTCTTTGATTTCTTTGATTGGCGGTGGAGTTGGCAAAGGCGACTTAGCTGCTGGGGGTGTTGCATCCTTTAGAAGGTTTCTTCTTTTTCTCTAAAACATTTTCTTTGATTTCCTTTACTGTTGGTGGTACGGAAGACTTAGAAGATTCCTTTTTAGCTGGAGACTTACTCGGGTTTGGGGGAACTGGTAGCTTATCTTCCCTTTCTGGTTTAGTGTTTAAGGAAGTGCAGGAGTTTGTTTTGGACGCGCAGGGAGTGATTTTGACACCGCAGGGGCTAGCATCTTTACCTTTACCTGCTCCTCTTGGACCATCGCGACAAGGATTTCTTCCCATGGGAAAAGCCGACATGAGCGGCATGGAAAAGCTGTCAGATGGCAGCGGTGGTAGCTCTTCCTTCTTAGGAGCTGATTTTGGAGGAGCTTTGGCTTTAACTGGAGGTTTAGTTGGCTTCATTTGAGTTTCCTTTGGATCCACAGCACCCTGTCGCAAAGGTTTTTTTTTAGGTTTTGTTTTGGGTTCAACAGGTTCAGGAGATTTGGGCATAGATTTAGGAGCTGCCCCTTTAACCGGAGATTCTTTCTTCTTTTCTTTTTTTGTTTCTTGTCCACATTTTCTAACCAGTTTTTTAGGTTTTTCTTTATCACATTTCTTAGCTTTTGGTTCTTTTTTGGCTCAGGCTTTGTCGCTGGACATTTTAATTCTTTAGCTTCTTTTTTACCGTCTATACAGGGGTTTCTTCCCCTTGGAAAAGAAGCATCTTGTGTTCCGGAAACACCCACACTTGGTGGTGGTGCTTTTGGCATCTCTTTAGGCTTGGCACTAAGAGGATCATTTTGCTTTTCCGCTGCTTTTGTTTCAACCAAGGGAAGTGTTTTAATGGGGGCTTTCGACTTAGTTGAAGTTTCTCCTTTCGGAGGCTTCAGTTCATCCTTCGCTGACCCGCATGATTTTGGTTTCGGTTTCGGTGGCGGACACTTAGATTCTTTGGCATCTTTTTTTCCATCAACACAGGGATTTCTTCCTATGGGAAAAGCTAATTTTTGTGGCATTGCAAATCTTTCGGCAAGAGGCGATTGATCTGGTGTTTTAGGATTTGGTGGAGCAGCAATTTTCGGCGATGGAGCTTGGCTAACGGTTGGTTTGGGAGGAGATTTCGAAAGATCTTTTATAACACTATATGATTGATTCTCACTATTTGCCATAGCCATTCCCTTGATTGGCTCTTTGGTGAGATCGGTATCATCTCCATTACAATCCTTACAGTTTACAATCATCATTTCTGAAGAACATTGGTTTGTTACAGAATTATATTCAAAGCAGTTTTTGCATTTAAAGATTTCCGGTGTTTTCAATTCGGCTAGAAGTGGTTCTGATTGGCTGATGGATTGAGTTTGGTTGTTTACTTTTATGGTAGAAGTAATGCTAGGATTTATCTTTAAAGTCGGGCTAATGGAACCAGTAGGTACCTGACCCTCGGAACTATTGGTGATAGGTTTTTTAGACTTCCCAACATCGCCTGTTTTTTTTGCTGATGCCAATGCTTGACAGAATATCTCCAAGGCTGGAGTTTCTGGTTCTTTTCCTCTGCCTGATTTTAAGCGTTGAAAGATTTTAAACTGTCGGGCCTCCAACCCTTTTATTTCCATATCGTAGAGTTTCTTTGAAGGCAAATGCGATTTTCTGTACCATCGTACCCTGTGCCTGCACTGTGAAATATCAACTTTAAACAGTATCTAAGATGTCAATATGCCCATGGAACTTACAATATTCAGAACGCATTCCGCGCCTAGAAGGACCCTCATGCTGCTGTTCAAACAAGGCTTAATTTTAATGGGTGGGACCTAAAGAGAATGTATTTTGGAGGTGAGTTTATTATTGGATATACATATTTTAAAACTTAGACATTAAACTGAAAGTTAAGCCTGGGACATTTTTGAAATAACATATTGTATTTATGCGAAATGAAGAAATGCAATAATGTTGTTAACTGGGACATTAATTCTCTTGCTAAGAACTCCCCGTGAGTACCCTGCATAGTTTTTCTTTTTAAATGAGTTCTTCTTTGCACTTCCAAAAATCAATTTCCAGTTTCCCCTTAAATGTTTTCCATCAACCTCGAAATTGGAGCACGCCAAACACACTCTGGCGTCGCTTCATTAACCCATAGAACTTGCTGCTGATGGCACATGCATCGATGCAACGTCGACTCCTGCCCAAAGTTCCGCGAATTGGGAGCGACAGACCAACATAACAGCTAAGGGGGGAAGGCCATGGCGGTAAATATTAACAAAATCAACACCTCGGAGGCCTCGGCTTGATTGCTTTGCCAAGTGAAGTAGCCATATTATGATTATTGCGAACTCGCTTCTCAACTCTTCGCAAGTGACGCAAACGAAGCTGAGCCCACAGAGCAAAAAAATGCAATAATTGCATATTGACCCATTTTCTTAACAATGCATTGCGAAGGGCACTCAAAGGGGGGTGTGCGAGGGCTTGGGAGGCAACTGGCCTGGGAGTGTTTGCAGGTTACGCATGCGTGAGCGTTGCCTTCATTTAATTAGGCGGCGACACCTGCGCGGAGACGGAACCGAAGTTCCAGTCGCAGTCGCAGTTCCAGTCTCAATTGCAGACGTCGCCATCAATCAGCAAATCAGCGAACGAGGCAAACAAGGCGGCAAGTGAGGCGTGAAAACGGCGAACAAAACTGCAGAAAAAGAAAAAAAATCAGCCAGGAGTAGGTGATTTTTTTCGGAAATATCTTTAAATACTCTTGCTTATTAACTTATGAATTTATTATACATTTTAGTCACAACTTTATGTAATAAATATTCTTATTCCAGTTTAAGATATCCCATCTAAAGGAACTAATTTTCTAATTAAAAGGGATAATGATTTGATAATACTTTTGAAATCATAAATACCACATTTTCTAACTATAATTTTCTTAAAATAATCTATATTTTTCCGAATAATAAACAACAAACTCAGATAGAGTATCAACACCTTCATCACTCTTCTTAACACAAAATGAAAACGAAAACACAGCAAAGAGTGCTGCACAAATGAAAACGAGAATTGAGATGAGGAGTGGATCTTTATGGGCGGTATCGGGGCCGAAGGGGCGTGGTGTTTAAGCTCATTTGACAATGAAGTGCTTTGAGCCTGACGACTGCGTTTGGGCGCGTTTTTATTATTTGCCTGCCCCACTTTGCGTACAGCGGCGATAATTGACGCCACGGTGGCTGCAACTGCAGCACCACACGATGCATCAGCACCACTGAACATTGGCACCACCACCACTACTACCACCGACAAAAACAACAAAAGCAAGGCTGCCTGATGGCCCACAATTTGGACTGCACTTTATTAAAGTACCCATTGGAATGAAGCCACCCAATAATCCCGGGCCCAAAGTGCGTCGCGTGTTTGCGTGAGTGTTTTTCACTTGAGGCCATCATCATCATCAGCCGGCATAGCCAATGCATTTTCCCTGAATTGCATTTGTCAGGTGTTATGCAATCGAGGTGCTGGAGCCCCGTCAACTGGCGAGCCCAACCAATGAAGTTGTTGTAATTTCCGAATAGGGCAGTGATTAGGGGTGCTCTAATCAGAGGAAAACCTTGTCGGAAATCATTAGAATAATTGGAACAGGATTGTAGGTGTTCTTTGTTACTTGAGTTCGTTTCTCAAGATTCTGTATACTAATAAATGTTTTGCAGAAACCATATCTTGTAACTAAAAGCTGACTTAACTTCCAATTTGTTAGTTAGACTTTTCAGTTTGCCAGAAGAAATATTTTAATACAATAGAGAATCCTTGTCTGCCCTAGTTAGCTATATATTTCACCAGCTTAAATCCCAAAATGAAGTAGATTTTGGCGGAAAGAGAATTTCAATCTGGAAAAATAAGCTATTCCCTGGTAGTTTCCCCCTGATCCCGCTGGCATCATTACTCAATCCAAGGCTTTGTGTAAATTCCACTCTACAATGGCAAAGGAAAACGTTGATGTTGCTTGGCATTTTTGTTGGTTTATTGCTGGCTTTTCTCTGGCACTGAGTAAATGCGAATTTCCTGTGCATTGTTTTGAACTGTTGGCCAAATGATCTGGGCCCCTTCTATTCCCCTGCCCTGTAACACCCTACATCTATTCGCAATCCACCTGATGACCTCAGCAGTTCGAGAGTTGCAATTAGTAGAAAAGTAATTTTCGTTTGGTTTCTTTATTGTTATTGTTGCGGTTGCTTTTTTTCCCGCTCCTCTTAAATCTCTGCTCAGCGATGCTGAAACAAAAAGTATTCTAACACCCTTTGTTCGCCTGGTTAGTTGAAAGCCCACATATAGATATATATAACCGAGACTTTGTTGGATGCATGATTAATGTCCGCATTGAGTCATGTCCGAAGAGCGTGGAACCATTTCCAAAAGCTCAAAGCCAATTGAACTGAGCTCGCTGTAAACTAAAAATACAAAAGCGACAAAAAAGAAAATAAAAATCTACAAAGCTTCACTCAGGTTTCGTTGATAACGCAGAAGTCATCGAGAAATGGACAGCGAAATGGTGGCACGTATAAACATGAAACGTGGATTAGAACCCCGAACTTCGAAGCTCAACGAGTTAATTTTTATCGCCCTAAGTGACATACATATGTACACCGAAACAGCAACCCAAAGAACCACGTAACCCGACGAGACTTGCTCTGGGGAAAGTACTCTCCTTCGAGCAACAACTAACACTCGGCACGTATTTGGTTTTTGGGTTGGGTGCCACGTCTGCTCCTCCATGTTATCTGCAAAATATTTGGCACAAGAGTCGTCATATCTTATATCAGTTTCAGATATTCGGGATACTCGGGATAAGCGACAATCGCTGAACAAAAGGCTGATAAGCAGACATCCAAATTCAATTTGTCCTCCATCGATAAGAGTTATTGGGGATGATGTTGGGAAACAGATGGGAGACTTTCTCTGTCCTAATGAGACTTAAGAGCTAAAAGGGGAGAAGGGCTCATCACCCAACCAATGAGACACAGACATAAAGTGACATAATAAACAAATTTAATCAGTTTAGTAAATGGAAATCTTCCATTGTCTCTGTTTAGTGGAAATTCGAATCCCATTCTTGGGCAGCTTTGATTTGTCTGCCGACTTATCATGGTTTTTGTGGGCCTGAGACTTTAAGATTACTAGATTTTTTTAAATTTTGACCTATTTGGGTCTTCTTCCATCTTTCCAAAAACCCAGCTTATCTCCTTTTTGTCCAGCTTCTTGTGTGTTTTTGAGACATTTCCTACGTTTGAAGACAATCTGCCTGAGCCACGTGGCATATGCTTAATCACGGCCCGAAGTCAAAGGTCAGCCGAGCACAAGAAGTGTTTTGTGAACTTATTTTTAGCTACTCAAATTACTAAGCCATTATCTTGCGGTTGTGAAAGCAGTTTCATTTTCATTCATCGATTCTCGATTTCATTGACCCAAATTCTAGATGAAACCCAATTGACAATTCTAGTCTTATGCGATAATTAACTTTTACTTTCTGCCATTTCGAATCGTGCTTTTGTTTTGATTGCTTTCGTCGGTCGTACGGCGGCAAACAAGTCCATTAACCATTCCAACAATTTATGCAAATGAAATGAAGCTGAAATTAATTCTAAACAAATTCAAGCGAATAGCGCAGAATGTTTACGTTCGAGTCGACGTCGTCGTCGTGCGGCACTTGACTAATTAACATATTTATGCGATTTATGCGAAGCGCCTCTTCATTTCAATATCGAACTTGAGTTGGACCAGAGGAGTGATTTCCTCCTCCGGCTAGATTTTCTCTCGTTGTAATGTGCTAATTGGAACTCACCTGTCCGAGGTGCACCTGTCTTGGTCAACGCCGGTTCTTCAAGGACTGTTTGTAAATGAAATTTGTAATGAAATTCGCTTCCGCTTTGGGCAGTTTTTTTTTTGCCCTCCCCTCGCTCATCATTATTGTAATTCTTTGTGGGGTTTTAGAAGCGTATGGAAAACCTGTTGGCAACCTGTTGGCCTGAGTTCTTAGTATCTATAAATTACATTTTACACTCGACTCGATGACGACGATAATCATGATTGGGTGGTGGAAAAAGCCGCCTCTAATTCCATTTCAAGGCCAATTTACTTAGCTATTCGAGGAATTTTCATTTTCATTTCATCACAAGCTTTTGAAGTTCAGATTCTTTCGGAACGCGTTTAAGGCTTTGTTCCTTCGAAAGAAATAAATTTCATTTTAAGGGGGTTTCCGCGCTGACATCGCTGTTGTTATTATTATTATTAACGACACAAAAGGAACACTTCGTCATCGTCTGTCAAAGTTGAAATTCCACCAATATATTTATATGCTTTTTTTCCTTCCAATATATTTCCACCATGTATGCTGTCGGCGGGATTCAGGACTCGAGTCCTGTTTGCATTGCAAATTATATGGCAGACTTCGATGTGGAGTCGACCAGAGAAAAAATCCTCATCCTCTGCCCAGTCAAAGTAAAAGCAAATTGATTTAAGTTGCGGGAAATGAGTGGAAATGTTGAAAGGCTGCGAGAAATATATATTTGTTTGAGTAGTCGTATATATTTTTCTCTAATAAATATTAAAGAGAGGTAAGTTCCCACTTTTAATTGTCTTTAAATAATTTAATTAAAATTTATATTATATATTTTTCTTATTTAAGTTAAATATTATTTTTAGTTCATCAAATTTGACATAAGAAGTCAAATTATTTCTTATATTTTTCACATTTTTCGTAAACTTCAACTTATAAAACTTTGATATTTGATATCCTCTACCCTTGTCTTCAAGTAAATCTTAAAAATGTAAATTCTTTTTGAAAAGCTGATATAAGTAAGCATATAGAACCCCAGTAAGAGTCAGAT